GACTACAACTCCGAGCACGATGGGAGTTGGAGTCCTGCAACCTCCGTGGCCCGCAGGCTCCCGGTTCCTGAAGGGAGAAGGTAGGCCCGTCAGCCCGTCGACGGGCGTTGGAAGGGCCGCCCAAGGTCCCCCCTCCGCCTCCCTGTGGCCTCGGCTCTCCTATCATTTGGATGCCGCTGTGGAGGCGCCGCGAGACGGGTACCTGCCCGCGGCCGGAGGTGCCTCCTTCCCTCGGGCCTTTAATAGGTGGCCAGCCGGCCGCTGTAATCCCCTTGTCCCGGGCGAGGAGAGGGTGCCAAGGGGCTGAATGGGGCAGCGCGCGGCGCGGAGAGGCCCATTGTGGCGGCCGGGCCGGCTCTGAAAGGAAGCGCCTGGAAGGGGCCGAGAAGCGGCGCTTATTGGATTGGGGGACAAAAGGCGGGCCGAGGGGGGGCCCGGACAAAGGGCGAGATTGACGGCCCGCGCTGCCTCCCCCGCGGCGCCCGGGAGGGCGGGGGAGCCGCGGTTTTGTTCCCCTTTTTTATCCCGGGGGGCGAGCGGGGGATTAGGAGGCGCAGTTCAATGTCGGATCCGCCCCCGCCCTGAGTCGGGGAAGCGGAGCAGAAGCAGACAGAGAGTGCATCCCCCCCCCCAGTAAAGGAAAAGCGCTGCTGTGTGACTCAGGCCTGACGCGAAGAAATGTGCCTGGCTTACTTAGTGGTTGGGAAAAGGTACTCTGCACATGCTTGAAAGACGCCTCGCCGTCAGTTGTGCTTTGGCCCCGCCCCTCCGGGATGCCCTCGAGATAGATGGGGTAGCCTTCGCCAAAGGCACCGCCGAGGACCTCCCCTCTCGGTCTGCCTGTGCTGGGGACCCAGCTCACTGGGACGGGCAAAGCACGTGGGGAGTCTGTGTCCGGCCACTCCTTGCTTCAAAGCAGGGTTGTCTTTTCCCACGTGAACAGGGGTGCCAAATTGAATAAAGTATTGGGGGGGGGGAGTAAGCCCGTATAACCAATCACATGATGTGGTGCACGCACACATTCGAATGGCAATGCCCATCCATTGAGGGAGGGAGCCTCCTCAAATATTTTATTGGGGGTGGGCCAAGACCCCCTCGGCCCCTAGGAGTTGGCTCCTATGCACATGAATGGCCGCGAAGAGATTTCTGATTGCTTAGAAAAGGCGGACGCAACTGCTGCGCAAAGGGGAGCTGCTTCGAACCTGAGCGAGCTGGGTCGTCTTGCCCCGCAAGAGACCCTGCGGATTGGAGCCCCCTCCGCGAACGAACGGCAGCCGCCGGAGATGAGCCCTTGGCGGTTAAAATGGTCTGGAACAAGAGCCTAGCGCCGAAGGTGTCAGCTTAGCCAAAAGAGGCGGCTCCATTAAGGGTCAATGGGGCGCTGCCTCCACACTTGCAACCGGTCCAGAGCGTAGCAGTGCCTGGTGAGAACAAAACTACAGGTTTTTTTGTTCTGTCTACTGCCTGGGCTTACTGCTTTCTTCCCTGCCTGTTGCAGATGGGCACCACCAGCGCCCGCCACTGAATTTGTTGGCATGGGAGACAGAATGAAAAAAGTACAGTAAGTTTGGTGAACAAGGAAGAAACCACCAGGGGGCGCACCCAAATAGACCTCCCGGATACTGTACCAGCAGTTTGCTTTATGCTGCCCACAATACAGTATTAACTGAAGGAATGAAGGGGCTGAGCGGGGGGGGGGGGGAGCCATATAATCACAGAGTTGGAAGGGATCCTGAGGTAAAAAGTCCAATGGGTAAAAAGAGATTGCATTTGTTGCCCACCAGAGGGAAAACTTTTAGGGATCTGTTTATCACTCCGTTGGTGGTGGGGTTACTGTAGGAGTTGCTTTGCCTCCTTTCTTTAGGTCTTGGCGATCCTGAGGAAGTTGGGGTGATGGGAAAAGAGGCAGTTGCCACTCCCATAACCCTGAATCACAGTCTGAGTGTGCTGTGAGGCAGTCGGCAAATGACACACATCCCTTTGACCAGACTTTAAACCTCTGCAATGCAATTGATCAGTGCCTCTGGCTATTAACCAGAAGTTGGTGGTTCCAGCCAACCCAGGAACAGCTGTGGGTGAGATTCTTGCATTGCAGGGGGTTGGACTAGATGACACTCGGGATCCCTTCCAACGCTACTCTATGATTCTATGATTCTACCCGCTAAAGACGTTAAATAAATAAATAAATTTATACCCCATCCTTCCCGGTTTAGAAAACCGGGCTCAGGGCGGCTAACAACAAAATTTAAAACACTTAAGTGATGCAACAAAACAGCATAAAATACAGTACAAAACATGAATAACAGTAAATTCAGAATTCAAAATCAATTTAGGGGGAAATCCATCCAATAAACATTAGATGGTCACCAGGGCTAGCTGGCTAAATTACGGTAGTCCTATTTGGGCCAGTGAGGAGACCAGGGGAGAATTAGCTGTGGGATGCCAGTGCGGGTAATCTTCATAAAAAGGGGAGGGAAGGAAGGGGAATAAAAGATCAGGTTAAGGTTTACGTTGTTGGACACGACTCCCAACTCCCATCAGCCTCAAGCCAACATAGCCTGGTGTGGAGACATAAAATTTTAAGAAGGGGACAGAGGGAAGGAAGGTTTCTCCCTGAAGGGAAAGGACCAGAAGAGGTGTTGAAGGAAATCAGAAAGTGAGACAAAAGTTTACTACTGTATTTATTAATAATACATAAACCTGGAATAGAATGGAAGGGAAATAAGGCTGCACTAATTCTAATAGAATATGATCCAGATAACAGATTCTATTCAGCTCATTTCTTCTGCCTAGTTGATTCTCCTGCTTTAAGGCAGGGTAGGGAACCTCAGGCCCAGGGGGCAAATGCAGCCCTCCGGGCCTCGCTGTCTTGTTCTCAGAACACATCATACCCCGCTTTGCACTCCAGATGTTCTCTATCTTGAACTGCTCTGACTTGTAGCTGCTCTCTGGAGTTTTGCATGGGGGACATCCTCAATCCTATCTAGAGATGTTGAGGACTGAATCTGGAGCTTTTAACTGGCACTGCTCTTCTGTCTTTTGCAGCAGCCTGTCAGTAATTAAGCAGGTAAAGTCCTCCCCACCATTTACCTTAGTCCCAGGGAAAGAGGGAGGGGGGAGGAACTCCCATTGGCAGACCAACTTCTGCCCAGGGGTGCCAACTTGAATAAAATACTGGGGGGGGGCATGTAAGCCATCCCCATAATCAACATGACATGATGCACACACCCCATTTGAATGACAATGTCCATTAACTGGGGGGGGGGGAGAGTTGGCTCCTCTGTTTATGCCTGTTAAGTCACTACTGCAGGAAGAGGGATTGATAACTTGGAAGTTATGTACAAGTTCCAAGCCACATCCATAGTTTTCCTGAAAGAATTAGCAAAAGCCACATGCCAGGAATTCCACTAGTGTGCAGGTACTCTGTGTTTTTCCTGTTGCCCTGCTACCCAGGTCTAAGCCATGGCTTGACTTAGCATTATGTCCATACTGAGGTTCATGGTTTGTCTTACTCCCGACAATGCACAAGCCGCAACTAGGGGTTGTTCTTGGCTTACCAATTGTGGTTTGCTTGCAGAAGACAAGCCACAAGGCCAGGCTTGGATAGAACACTAAGCCAAACCATGGCTTAGTTTCAGGAGTGTGGCAGCAGGATTTCCCACCTGTACCTGCATGCTTATGCATTCTTATTTATTCATGGTTTGAATTACATGTGAACTGGGCCACGAGAGAAATTTTTCTCAAAATTACACCACCTCAAAGATTGAGGGGAAATGCCAGTCAGGGAGCACTAGGCTCTCCTCTGCATTGCTGCAACAGGTGAGCCTTCTTGTCAGCTTTTCTTTCCCAGGAAGACAAGAATTTCCTGTCAAAGTCTACCCTTCCAAGACAGGTCAAATCAGCAAGAAGCACAGCTAGCAAAATCATGTATGAATAGGCATTTTGAACATAAGATCTATTTGCCCTTTTGGTTCAACTTCAAAGCTCTCTCCATCCCTCACATAAAATTTGATTACATCCATCATAAGCCAGTGAAGACAGATGTATTGTTTTGAAGTTTCACTTTCCTTGCTGCAAAAGGCAAAGGGCACACATAGGAAGCAGACAGGCTGTTCAGTAAGACACTGGCTCAGTCAGAGGTTTATATTCGCCTCATTTGTGTATTCTTCTTCCTAAATGAAACATTCCAAATCTTGGAATCAAGAGTAGGAGGAAAGATTGCCACACTTCCCCCCTAAGAAGTAAGATGAAGCCCATTAACACAGTCATCTTTGTTGGCCATTCCAAGTTAAAAGTTACCTGGAACCTAAGTGCCGTACTTTTGGAGTTCCTGCAACATGGAGGGGCCAGCAACATAGGACAAGGCAAGCAGAGAATGCATGCTTTATAACTGCAGATGGATAAATGGTGTTCCCCAATATCACCTGTCTGCCTGTTCTCAAACTACAGCCTGACTCTACTCTTTCACATTGCTACTCTGTCTAGTGTGATAGAGGATAATAGGAACAAGAACTATTTTTTTTACATATGTGCACACATGCACCTGTGTCTTTTCCATCACAGTATATATATTACTGGAGGACACTGCAAGCCAGTTGAAAGAACACCTGACTGAGGCAGACACTGCATCTTTTCCCCTGCTACTATAAGAATGTGTGCTTGAGCTATGTTGGTAGGTAAGAATACTGCTGAAATATATATGGGAGGAACAAGAATCACATAAAGCTGTCAGTTGCCTGGTGCTGGTATCCTGTAGGAACATAGATGCTCTCCAAATACTGTTTAATGACAATAGAAAGCTGGTTCTTCATGGATCAATATTAGTCATACAAGATGCGGCATTATATGATACCAATCTCACTTCCACTCTCCCACCTACCACAAGAGGAAACAATTTAGACCACCCTGCTATAGGTTGGTCCAACTTACCTATAACAAAGCCCTATAGTGCTGCTAAAAAGAGAGAAAGAGATAAGGAGAATAAGAGCAAACAAGGGCTGTGACGATAAAGCAGACTTTATTGGAGGTGCCAAGGGCCACAACAATCAAAGCCTTCCCAGAGAGCATGAGGTTTGTGTGTGTGCTACTAGACAACAGCTCAGCTAACACTTCCCCTGCCTCCATCACCACGTTATCGTAACAGCAACCCATTCAGGGTATGCAGGTCATCACCCCAAGTTCCAATGTGCTCACGGTAGCTCATGGTAGTCTCCACCTCTTTTAAGGGAATACAACTTTTGGGGCAAGGGAGATGCTTGTTAGGTGACAGGCTAGAAAAGGGCAGGCCAAGCTGCTGCTCATTGTCTACTATCCATTTGGGAGAAGGATGATGGGCTGTGCAAAATGCAGCAGCAGGCAAGAGGCGGCATCATTATTCCAAAGGCTTGCTTGTCATCTGAGTCTGGCACCAGCCAATCCAGCGGGTGGAGTCACATTTCACTTTCCAGCCAATCGCTCCTCCTTTCGCTTGGTAAGGAAGTATTTGAAGAACTCATACACAGACCAGGCAATGGCTGTGGAGGGCATCTGGTAAATGACACGTGCTTGTACCCCTCGAAAATAGGCAGTCAGCCCACCCACGCGGTACACCGTCCTGAATGCATGAGCCATGCCTGTAATGTGCCCACTGATGTTGGTATTCAGTGCCAGGGCCTCCTGGGTATTCAGCAGTGTCTTGCAAACGTCCAATGGGGTGGTGGCAGCAGCAGCAATGGCCCCTGCACAGGCCCCTGCCACCATATGGGAACTAGGGTTGTACTGTCTGTGAGGATTGAGGTGTTCCTGCAAAGATTCATATGCCATGAAGTGGATGGCCTGGAAGGGGATGTTCATAGTCAGCTGAGTGGTGTAGCTTCGGTAGAAAGCTCCTGCCCCTTCATTGCACCATACAGCACGTACACAGTCTGTTGCTCGCTGGTATGGAGAGTTGTACATCTGCATTCTCTGCTTTACCACTGATCACAAGATGACAGCAGCAGCCCAGCCATGGAGACGAGAGAAGGGCAGGGAGGAGCAAAGAAAAAATAAATAAGTAAGTGCAGTGATCTGAACAGTGTGCATTCTATGTAAACACTTGAATAGATTCAGGGGCCCCTGCATCCCTTAAACTTGCCTCAGTGTGATCTATCTACCCACCCAGCAAATCCTGCAGAACTCTACAACTCATGAAAAAACAGTAATGCCCCAATTCTGGAATTGTGAGACACCAAGTATAAAAAACAGGGGTTACTGAAATGTGATCTGATTTTGCCTACGCAATGTAGGGAACACAAATATGAAAGACAAGTTGCAATATTGTTTTTATGTCATTTATCAACACCAAGAGCAAGGGCAGACACACAAATACATTCTTTGCTTCAGCCAAAGTCTTGTCCACCACCCACCCGCTGCATCCAAAGAACCCTTGTAGCAGGTAAGGCTGCATGTCTGAACTGTATCACAAGCAACATGAAAGCACCCCCTGGTGACAAGAAGGGAGCAGCACAAGCTGCATGAAAGTTGCAGGACTGCTGGGAAGCAACATTACCTTCTGCTGGGTTCATGGCTGCATCATGAAGCAATGTTGCCACACAGCCTGCTGCGCCTGCAAAACAAGGACTATTACATGTGAAAAGTGGGAAGAAGACCTAAGGAGCTCTCAGAATGTGCCACCGGAGGAGTGTATGCGAGCAAATAGGGACACCCACCTCCCAAAGACAGAATGAAAGTTCATTGAGAAATTAGCATCAGTTTTCAGAAAGGGAATATCAGAAATATTCAAGGCTCCAGTGCAGGCAATATTTATCATATTAATCTCGACCCACATTGGAAGGATTGGGGGGGGGGGAATCAGAAGACTAAGACTGCAATCCTAACTCCACTTACCTGGGAGTAAGTCCACTGAATTAAATAGGACTTACTTCTGAGTAAACATGGTTAGGATTGCACTGTAAATTATCTATCATCTTTAATTCCTAGAGCAGAGAAGAGCCAAGACTGTCTTGCAGCTATTTAGGATTCTTGCAGCTATTTAGGATTCTGCCGTCCTGCTAGCACATCCAACAAGCTTCAGAGACGAGTTAGTTCCAAAATTCTAGGATCTCCAGCTAATTGGGTCTTCCTATTATCTGTCCAGACTATCAGAGATGAAGGAGCCTCAGAAGCATGCTAGTGTGAAAAAGTAAATGTAAGCAGACCAGACTCTACAACACGTTACAGCAAGCTTGGGGTTCTCCCCACTCAAAAATGAGGATGCTAAAAGGACAAATGTAAGAGCAGATACAAACATGGACACATCTGGGACAGCTGCTTCAAAGGAAGAGCACTATATAAAGTCAAAATGAAATACAAACAGCAACACACCCATTCTTCTATCATATTTCAAACTATCTTCACAATAAAAAAAAGTTTGTCTGCTCTGGTGGAAACTGCAGCTATCTGCCCCATATTCCCACAATCCCTTCTCATTCACAAATTCCTTTCAAAAGTCAATGGCAAATCCTACATTCCTAATGATCATGGTTAGATAATGCTTGGAGTGAAGCAGAACACAGCATCAGGGAAAAATGTCAATAGTAAACAGGATTCAGAAGTTAGCAATATAAGAGCAGTAAGAAAGAACCAGGCATCCAGTTCTTCATTTCACTAACAGTCCTAGCTGGGAACATAGGGACCCTCAGGGTGGGGCAAGGAGTCAAGAAGGGACAATACCGTTGGCCACATGACTATTGCCCCCAGCATGGATAATGTCGGTAAGTGTCTTTTTCAACTTTTCGTAGCAGGCGAAATACAAGGCATGAGCAGGGCCTGCCCCTGTGGCTGTGATGTTCAATCCACGCATGGGTCGCCAGATCCCTTCAGTCCGCACGATCCGCCACAGGGCCTCCAGCACATTCCGGTAGCGAGCAGCAGGTTCCGGTTGCAGGCTCTGCATCCTTGTCTGCCAGCGCAGGGAGGGGAGCAGGTTAGATATGCCAAGGGACTTAGCCTAGTAAGCGCTCCACACCCAGCTCTCCCAACCCAGGTCACTCCTTCCTTTCAGAGCCATTCAGCTGCATTTGATGGCTGCACACAAATGAGTGCTCGCAGGCAGCCTTTGCAGGTGTCTGCAGATCACCAGGGGGGCTTCCCGCCCGTCAGGACTCTACCGTCTGTACAACACCACCACCTTACCCCATCCTCCCAACCCCATGACTGAGACCAAATATTTCTGGAACCAGGTCGGTCGCTTTGGCGGCAAAAGTGAAGGCCTGAAACGTGATCAAGGAAACCGATCTTGCTTCTTGTCAACTAGTGGCGGCAACACATAACTCTCCTGTCAAGTGATCGTTCGTTGGCACTTCTGCCATTAGCCAGCAAAAGAGCCGAGAACGTGTTTGATCCATCCCTCCCCGAAGTCGTTAGCTCCATCGCATTCATCGGGGAGCACCTCCTTCGCCTTTCTGTCAACTCTGGGGCTTTCCCCCTTTTTGCTAAATTCGGATCTAGTCGGACCGTCCGGTGATGCGGATTAAAGTGCAACACTAATGAAGATCGTGTGCCGGTTAACCGCTCTCAGGTCCTGCCCAGGGACTCCCGCGTCTCGTCTCAGCTCCCCGCCCCCCGCCAGCACCCGCCCTGCTCCCGGAGAGCAGCTCGGCGCCCGTTCTCACCTTGACACAGTCCACCGGGTACATGAGGCTGTGCTCCAGCACCCCCGCCACAGCCCCTGCGAGCATGTGGGTGGAGGCGGCGGAGCCCCGCGGGAGGGCCTCGTAGTCCGGCTCCGGGCCGGCCTCCGTGTCCGTGCCAGTCCCTCCCGCCCCGCCACCCCCCGCGGGCCACGCCCAACCCGCCCCTCCACCGTCGCCCCCGCCCAGCAGCAGGAGGAGCTGGCGGCCCGGCTCTGCCCCACCGCGCTGCCCGGGCCCCGCCGCGCCGCCCGCCCCGAGCTCCATGGCACCGCCGTCGAGTCCGTTGCGGGCTGCACACTCGGTCCTGCGGCTCCCGCTCTGTCCGCCCCGCCCATGGATGTCACTCATTGGCCGCGGACGGTTTTCGCGCCGCCCCGAGCCAATGTCCATTGGTAGGCTGCGACTCACGCTCGCTTCCATTGGCTAACGTCCGTCCTGTCTCCCGCCCATCCAGAGAGGATATTGGGCAATACCTCTTTGACCTTTCGTTCGTTCCTCACCCGATTGGCTACTTTTCCGCTTTATTCGAGATACGTGAGGAAAAGGAGAAAATTATTGGCTACGATGCCTGCCGTTCAAAGTGACAGGCTTGTAATAAGGCTGCGCAGTTTTCTATGGTGCGTGGGGTTTGTTTGTGGATGTTGGTTGGCTTGCTTTCAGTGATGACGTTGCCGTGGGAAGAATATGCCTGTACATTGGTGGACCAAACATGCAGTGTGAGAGTTGACTCGGGGCTGCGAATGGGCAACAGGGCGCCTGCGCGTTCCGGCGAAGACGAGGCCCACAAAAAAAAAAGAAGGAGGTGTACGTTGAAAAGCTACCCTTGGGCCTACGAATTGGGCAATATACGCATGACGTAACGAAAACCCGCCCGAATGACCCTCGCCGGGTTGGCTCAGAGCTTGTGACGTGTTGGAAATTACTGAATGACACTTGAGGAGAGTATCGGGTCCCGTCCTGGACAGCGCGGCGTGCCCTTCGGAAAGCGCAGCTGGTTGGCTGCCCGCCGCGGGAGGCGGAGCCCAGGCCGACTCGGTTCCGTTGCGTCAACCTTACCCGGGCTCTGCCATTGGCTGCCGCCCAGCCCGGTCGCCCTGGGGACGTGGCTGGAGCAAAGGGCCGACGAAGTGGCGCCGGACGGCGAGCGCGGGGCGAAGGAAGCGGTAAGTCGGCTCCCCGGAGAAGCGGGGGAAAGGAACGCTGCCTGTGTGGAAGGGGAACCGCGGCAGTGCCGGGCGGAGGAGCCTCCTCTGCGGCCAGAGGCGCGTCTCTCTCTCTCTCTGTGAAGCTGCTCTCAGCATGGGATGAAATGCGGACCATTAATTAACGGACCGATTTTGTGGCCCTTTCAGGGGGTAGAGGCGGGAAGGTGGTCGGCGCTGATCCCTGGTTTAACCACTCCGTCTCTTCCTTTCTTTTTCAGGGTCCAGGATCATCCCGCAACTTGGAGGAGCCGAAAGAGATGCTACTTCCTCCCGGGACCCGCACTGGAAGCTGACGGACTGTGGAGCGAGCACATGGCCAGGTGAGGCGATGGGATCGCGGGTCCCCCTCCGGATTACCCACACGGTCTCATTTCCAGCATTGCTGGCTTCCTCCTCCTCCTCCTCCTCCTTGCTCCGTGGGCGTGGGTCGCTTCCCGGCTGCCAGGCAGGGCGGCGGCCACCTTGATGCCGCTGGGAGAGCAGGTGCGCTGTGGGAGCCTTGGGGTCAGTGGCGTAGCGCTGGGGGTGCAGGGGGGGCCGGGCGCAACATCTGGGGGGGCGTGCTCGCACTCGCAGCTCTCTGCCCCCTGCTAAAATCCACGGGTTAGGGGGCGCAAATTACTTGCCTTGCCCCGGGTGCTGACAACCCACGCTACGCCACTGCTTGGGGTCTAGAGTTTGAGACCTCTGACCCACAAGCGCAGGGGGAGACCAACAAAGAAAGTGAAGAATCCCACAAAGATCTATTGATCTGAAAACGAGATATAGCCCAGCACTGATCTGGGTTCAAGATTGCTTGTTGATTGGCATGGCTTTGGGGAGAGGGTTTTGCATTTAGAACTGCTTTGCTGCAGGGATTCTTCCTGAAAGCTTTGGCGTTGCCCTTTGATTTGTGCTCATGGCGCGATCTTCTCTTGCCGCTCAGAGATTGGGACACACAGTGTTATCTACCCTTCTCTTCTGCTCCCCTGCCCCTGGTTGACCCTAGTTACAGTGACCCTGTCGGCCTCTTCCCTTGTTCCCTCTGTGAGGCTGGTATGTCTTAAAAAGCTCTGCTGTTACAGCCAACCTGGCTAGCAGCCACTTAAGTTCAAAGATCACAGCTTGGTGCTAATCGGTGCAGGGTAGAAGGGCAGCCCGAATGTGGTCTCTGCAGAGTATCTGTGATTGTTTCCCAGCACTTTAACCCCATTATTATTCAAGTCCCAAATGAATGGTTGGGAAAGGGGAAGTGGGAACAAAGAACAGAGTAGCAGAGATTCACCTGCAAGTTAGGAAAGATTGAAAATGTACAATGTACGTCATGCGTGCCATGCCACAAATCTGTGTTAATGATTATGGCTGCAATCCCGGGGAGTAAGCCCAATGAATATAGTAGGATGTACTTCTGAATGAACATGCATAGGCTTGCATTGTTGGTGATTAATTGCAAACTATTGCTAGCTGACTCAGTTGGCTTGTTTAGATGCAAGGTTGCCAATGCCATTAAAATGTCCTTTTAAGACTGCAGTACTCGGTACTCACATGGGTCCCGTCTGCTCCTTGTTACATTCCCAGCTGCTTTGGAAGAAGGATCCTCCTGTACCAAACTTCCAGCTGTAGGTTATGCTGGTTTAGCTGTGTATGTTGGAAGCTTCAGCACTTGGATTTCTAAGATCATTTTGTTGGCAAGGACCTGTGGATGACTGATGAGGCTTTGCTAGACGTTTAACAACTGTTTAATCTGATTTCCCCCTTCTTCCAGGATCAGTTTTTCCTGCCTGTGTCCAGCATCTTGGCACTTCACAGTGCCTTCAGTGAGCCTTTGTCTCCGTCAGCGGCTGGGCCTGCTGGGTCTCTTAGTTGCAGCCAGTATTTTGCTGTTCGTGGGAATCACAAATCTATGGCGTTGGAAAACTAGTTCTCGGGACTGGCAGTCTGAAAGGTGGGTGAATGTGACTGCACTGGCATGAAGCATGCTGAGATAAGGCAAAAAGATGCTTTCAAAGGAGTCAGTCAACTTCCATTGCTTGTATTTCCAAGTTAGCTAAGCTTTAGCAAAGCATTCTAAATTAATAGCTTCTGAAATGGCTTGTTCATATAGGCGAAAAGGCCACTTTGTACCCTACAAAACGCTTAGAGAGATTAGTTAAGAATACGGCACAGTACTGCTCTGAGACAGCTAGGGCAGCCAACAGACTTCTGAAAAACAGTATGTTCTAAAGTAAGGTACAGCAGCACAAAATACCTTTTTTGCACATCTTTGTGAGATAAAGCCAGATATAATTATTTTTTTCCTGCTCTAAAATAGAGGAGAGCTGAAGGAAATGGGTTTAAGGAAGCAATTGTCCAGCAAAACAAATTAGTTTATGTATGAAATGAAACCAACCCTAAAGGAAAGTGCTACGCTGTACGGTGTATATTAGGTGTCTTCAGGGTCAGAAAGTACTGTGTGCCCTTTAATCAAAGCTAAGATTATTCTGTACTTTGGGTGTTGTTGGACTCCCAAATCCCATCATGCCTAGCTAACATGACCAATAGCTGGGGATGATGGGAACTGAAGTTCATCAACATATGGAGAGCCAAGGGTAGCTACCCCTGCTCTAGATGTTGTTGGACTACAAGGCTCATTGTTCCTGACCATTGACAATGGTCACTGTTACTAACAAGAGCTGGGAGTCCCAACACCACCTGGGGGGACACAGGTTCCTCACCCCTGCTACACATGCTATGCATAATGTAGAATCTGGTTTCCTGGGGAAACTGGGGGGAAGGGGAGAGTTAGTGGCACCAAACAAGGCGGCAGTTTCTATGGCACACAAAGTCCTTCTATCCCCCTCCTTTCCCCTCTGTTCTTCTACGATCTTGGTCTTGGGTTGCAAAATTGGGCATATATTTCTGCATTTTTTGTGTAATAGCAGTAGAAAAGGAGATGCTTGATGGAAAAAACTGCAGAGGAAATGGCAGGGCATATTTCACAGTTCCCATCCAATAGCAAAATGGGAGTGATGGGAAGAAGCCGCATGAACTGAGTTCAGCTGGCATTTTCCCACCAACAAAGGCTGAAACCCTTTTAAGCTGGAGGGGAAGGAGGAAGATGCTGTGCTAGTCCTGCTGGGCAGTGCTTTCACAGGGCTGCTGTTGGCTTTCTTCATTTAGTGAAATGTTGGGAACGAAGGACTGTCAGCGTGTCAACATAAGAACCCAAGGTTTAACTGCTGGGAAGTCCCAAATTTTGCCCTTAAATGATTCCCAACCCACGCATATAATGCTCTTCAGTATGTTTGCACAGGGACTGGCAATTCTGCTGCCAGTTGGTGTTCTGCAGTTGGAAAGTGTGAGGTATCTGGCACAGAAGCAGTTGCTTGAACTGGTTTGCCCACCTTCTTTTACACAGTCCCTGTTTGGGTATTCAGGCTTCACATGTAAGCAAACATGTGAGGAGAAGCTGGAGAACTCTGCTGCCAAACCCTCTGCACAGCATCATCTGTACAAAGTTCAGAGCTTTTTCTCTCTCTCTTTCTCTCTCTGTGTGTGAAGTCCTGATTTAGCAGACTTCTAAATCGCACAAGGAACTGCCATGAGGAGAAGAGGCTTCCCACTTCAGACACCTCACTTTTCCCTATACCCACTCCTCTTAAGATGAGTAAAATTTCAAAATGACTAGATGTGTGACTTGAAGTATTAACACCAGTCTGCTGTTCCTAAAGAAAGGAAGTTGTCAGTAAATATAACACCAGAGAGATAGGAAAGCATAAAAGACAACAAGCAACTCATAAAGAAAACAAAAGGTAAAAAACAACAACAAAACTTCTTAACATTACTAACTGGTTCTTCATTGGTGTTAAATATGCTTGGCAGACTACTAAGAATTAAAAATTACTAAACTAGGAAGTAATTATTTACATTTCTGTCCATAAGATGACAAAGAACAGTTATTTAAGTCAAGGATGAAAGCTGATGATTTTCTATAGGCAATAATGCCTGTCCCCCAGTTGCATCTTAAGAAATAAGGGGATAGTTTTAAGATTCTAAGTCAGGATCCCTCAATCTGAACCAGACTTCTCATGGTCTGCTGGAAAATGACAGTACTTCCTCTGAAGCCAGAATTTTATTTGATATGCTAAAGAGGGTCTCTCCAGCTGGGGTTCTTTATAAGATTAACAAGTCTAGACTTGTTGATGTTATCACTTTAAAATGGGCCATTAAGATAAAGGTAGCGTAAATGTTTTGGCAAAAGCCAGCTATTTGCATTTGACAACCACCTTAAACAAGTCATTTTCAGACCAAAGGAGAGACTGGTAATTACTTTTAAATTCACATTTCCTCTAAACTATACATTCACATTGTATACATTCTCTCAGCTTCCCTTATGGCAGGTAGCAACTTGGCTTTAATTTTAAAAGGGCATTTCTGCTGCAGCTTTTGTTTGCATAATATCCAGTAACATCCAGCATTTATTTGCATAACATCCTGCAGTAAATATATTTATTAATTATGGAATGTATATCCTACTTTTCTTTCATCGTGGAACTCAAGGTGGCATATATAGGATTCCCAGGTGAGCCCATCCTGGCAATAATAATAATAATAATAATAATAATAATAATGCCCTGCTTATCTGGCTGGGTTACCCCAGCCATTCATCAGATGCACACCAGCTTACCTTCAGCAGGTTCATTGCTGGACCTGGGACCAATGCTTGTGCCTCTTCCTTCAAGAAGCATTTAGCTGCATGGCTTTTATTTTTTCAATGTGGTGTGGACTGGACAGAATTTTCTTGTTGGGACTGCCTACCAGTTACTGTACTCAAATAATGTGACATTCAATGGCTCCTCTAGAACTCAGACTCTGATACACTTCTTGTCCCACCTGACACAGTTTAGAGGGACTGGCACTGCCTCATCCATGGTAGTCCTACCACATGGCAGGCCTTGGGTCTGCCTGCTTCTCCTCTTCCTTTGCCCTTTCCTCCTTCCATGAATGCTGATGAACAGATGTAAACAAAGACTGATATAGTAGCTTATGCCTTAACTTTTGTGACCTGACCTTCTGTCTGTGATAGGTCTGGCTTCTCCTCCCTCTTGGATAAGATGCAATTGTATTTGTGCATCTCTTGGCTCCTGTGTCCATGGGGAAATCCAACTGGAATACTTGGGGTGGTGCGTGGCATTTGTGAGAGCTGCTGCTCTAGCTGAGTGCCCAGGGAATCTATGCCCTCTTCTGCAAAAGTCAGGATGTTGGAACATTTGGCCCTATGGCAGTTGGCCATGGGATGGCCTTCTTCAAACCCTTGCTTTCTTCCACTGCTGCTGCTGCAGGGTGGGGGAAGTAGCAGAGGCTGTGCTGACTGAGCCAGAATTTCCTTCAGCGCAAGAAAGGGGAGCAGGATCAATAAGAACTAAGGTGGCATGAATTCTCTGTCTAATGGATCTGCAAAACCCACTAATTTGGTTAGCTTTCTTCTTAATGGCTGGACATGCTGTGGTCTCTCAGTCCTGTTTTCTGATTGCACCGATGAAATGGCACAAAGTGGGTGGGTTGGGATGTCTGCTTCAGTTCTCCGGTTCCTGGGGAGCTGAAGCCAGTGCCTAGGGGGATTCCAATAACTTTCATCTGGTTTCTAGAAGGGGGAACGAGAGCCTCCGCAGGGACTGGATGCACATGCTGGGTCAGCATTGCTTGAAGCATTTATGGAGAAGTGATATAGGCATTTTGTGTTCCTGTAATTCCTATTATTGCTGTTGTGCAATAATAGACAGCCTCTGAAAGAGCAGAGCAGGCATTCTATGGAATGCTGGATCTGCCTTTTTCTTTTTCTTTTAGGGGTGTGAAGACTGGTCTGGTCTCTAACTCTTAACTCCAAATCTTCCTCATTCCCCTTGCAGGTACCTGGAACGGTTTCATACCTTGGAGGCAACGGACACAAATAACCCATCTCTGAATTACGGGGTGGTTATTGATTGCGGAAGCAGTGGGTCCCGGGTCTTTGTATACTTTTGGCCACCACACAATGGGAATCCGCACGACCTGCTGGACATCCGGCAGATGCGAGACCATAATGGCCAGCCTGTTGTCAAGAAGATCAAGCCAGGTTTGGAGATTTCCAAATGCCTTTTATGTTGGTGGCTGTGAACCCACAAGCACCAAGCACCTGGAGGTGGGCAGAGTTGTTCTGTAGAGATGCCAGCTGAGGGAATATTCCCTTTTCATTGTACAGGGATCTCTACTCTGGCAGCCACTCCAGACAAAGCTAGTGACTACATCAGGCCGCTGCTCAGCTTTGCTGCTGCCTATGTGCCCAGTACCAAGCACAAGGAGACTCCCCTCTACATTTTGTGTACTGCAGGAATGAGACTGCTCCCTGACTGGTGAGTGAGCTATATTTTTCCAAGACCTGAGCAGAGTAGGCTTGGGACTGGGGAGCAGGAAGCGCCGGGCTTCTTGAAGCTACAGATGGACTTGCATCCTGAAGTGGAAAGGGACAGGGTGTGGGGTGTATCTTCACTGTATCAGTCAAATACAACATTTCCTGTTTCCTAGAGTGGACACACAGGGGATTGTTGCTCCAGACAGGGAGGACTTCCTGTCATACCTGCTCTGGAGCATCCTCCCTGTGTGTGACCAGGTGGATGGGTGTGACCCTAGCAGACCCTATAAAAGGGCTAGTCACACAGCCATCTTCCTCTTTTGCTGCTCTTTTGCAACTCCTCTGCTGGCTGTTAGTCAGCAGCACATGGCTCATCCTTACAGAGGATGGAAGCCACAAGGTAGAAAGTTTGAGGCCTAGCTCAGACTTCTTTTTCTACAACTGTAACTGTGACTACAAAATAAAGTCTGCCTTCAGGACAATACTGTGAACTGAATGTAAGTAAACTTTATCATTACCTTTGAAAAGAAGACTGTCATGTCATTATTGTTTTTAAGAGGGAACTAAAGGGGAAATTTACCAGGAACAATCCAATCTGGACAAGCCAGACTGGATTGCTCAATTCAAATGATTCTAACAAATCCATCAACTAGCTTCCAGCAATGTACAAGGGAATGTGCTCTGCTACTAGTAATAATAATAATAATAATAATAATAATAATAATAATAATAAATAATTTATTATTTCTACCCGCCCATCTGGCTGGGTTTCCCCACCCACTCTGGGTGGCTTTCAACAGAACATTAAAAACAGAATAAAACTTCAAACATTAAAAACTTCCCTAAACAGGGCTGCCTTCAGGTGTCAAGGTGTTCCACAGGGCAGGCACCACTACCGAGAAGGCCCTCTTCCTGGTTCCCTGTAACCTCACTTCTCACCAGAAGGCCCTCGGCGCTGGACCTCAGTGTCCGGGCTGAATGATGGGGACGAAGACTAGCTCACTAACGTGACTGAGGAAGGATAATATTTAATCAATATATCCTCTCCTACTATCCACAACATTCCCACACAGGGTTCCCTAACTTGATAGTGAGCAATGGGTCATCTCCACCCCAAGTGGAGCTAAAAATTAAGTCCTGCTTATGAAGTTGTGTGAGTGTTTGCAGATTCATGGCTGGAAAGAGACCAAGTGAGAAGGGTGACTTGCACAGGGGGACAAAAGGACGGGTTTCTGAAATGAGGTGGAGCCTGCTGTTTAGACATCTTCACCATTTGGCAAAGGAGCAGTGGAGTTCATTATATTTCAGTAGAAAGAAATGGGAGCTGCTCAGTTTGTCTGCTTGTGGATCTTTGCAGGCAGCAGACGGCCATCCTGCAGGACCTGGTGAGGGATGTGCCCTTGGAATTTGATTTCCTCTTCTCAGAATCTCAGGCAGAAGTGATCTCTGGGAAGCAAGAAGGTAGGTGTTGGGCCAGAAAGGCTCGCTTACTCCTTCTTAGGGAGTTTGGAAAAGGGTGAAGGGGGGGAGGGAAGGTAGGTGGTGAGGCAGCACTGCACAGGATCTGGGGGTTTAGCTAGCTATTACACCAGCTTAACTTGCTGTTGGCGGTGCCTGTCCCTTGGGGTTGTTCCCTCCCCTCAAACTTCACAGGGTGCTACTTATGCATCATACAAAGTCCTGTACCTTCAAAGAACCCAACACTGCTCTTGATTCTCTTTCTTCCCCCACCCCCAATTTCCCAGGAGTCTATTCTTGGATAGGCATCAACTTTGTATTGGGAAGATTTGACCACGAAGAAGGTGAGACTGCGGGAAAGGGACAGTGGAGTTGAATGGGTAGGTAGAAGTTTTCTCTTTTGGCTCAGTTCCCCGTTGAAGGAGGGAATCTCCAGCACAGTTTGGTCGGTTCCCAGCAGGAATGGAGATTTGGCTTTCCCACATGACCTGAACTAAGGCCCCTTCCCATTCTGCAGTTTAGCAGGAGTGAAGGTGAGCAAGAGAGACTAGAGCTGATCCCCACTTCTTCCCTAACTTCTGCCCCCTCAAACCCTAGACATTTCTAGTGTTCGGCCCAAGAGGTATGGAGATGTGCCATCTTCCATCTCCCTTTTCCATTGCTTTGGAAACTCTCTCTTTCTCTTTCTCTTTCTCTCCCTCCCTCTGGGATTGTAGAGGAAGATGCAGTGATTTCTGTGACCCTGGCTGGCCAGGAAGAAACCCTGGTGCGAAAGAGGACTGTTGGGATCCTTGACATGGGAGGTGCCTCTCTGCAAATCGCCTATGAGGTGCCGACTTCCACGTCCTTCTCTTCCCCGCAGGAGGTGTGTAGCTTGGGAAGGAAATATGTGCTATGGTCCAGGTTGGGCCCTGTTTCTTACTCCCGCTCTCCCTCCCCCTGCCACCCTCCCCTCTGCTACCGACAGGAGGAAGCTGCCAAGAGCCTGCTTGCTGATTTCAACCTTGGCTGTGACATGCAACACACGAAGCACGTGTACCGAGTCTACGTAAGCACCTTCCTGGGCTTTGGGGGCAACTACGCCCGGCAGCGCTATGAAGAGCTGGTGCTGAATCAGACCACCACCCACAACAGGTGATGTCCTCATGCTGCCAGGTTTCAAAAGGCCTGGCTAAAGGCAGCTCTGGATTCCACTGCCCCCAGAAGTTCAAGGTGTGGCATCCTGGGAGAGGGTGTGTGTTTATTTGTAGAAGGCAGGCTCCCTGAGTGATGAGATCAGTGGGAGAAGTTTTTGATGGTCCTCTAGCCTGTTTCGGGGTGGCACAGAAGAACTCACCGATCATAACTTGCCGCTGGGGATGTCTGCGTTTTCCCAACCCTGAAGCTTAGGCTCTCATTGCAGGTTGCAGGGTGAGCAGCTCGGCGCAAATGCTGGGGTGCCCGTCTTGGACCCCTGCCTGCCTGTGGGACTGGAGGATGTTGTGGAGCATGGCGGCCAGACCCTGCACATCAAGGGCCAGGGGGACTGGCAGTCGTGTGCGAAGCAAGTGCGCCTCCTGCTGGCGGGAGACAACAGAACCATGGTCTCTCTGCGCAACACCTATCAGGCACCGATTGACTTTGTTAACAGCGAATTCTATGGGTTCTCTGAATTCTACTACTGCACCGAAGATGTGCTGCGCATGGGAGGACTGTACCACATGCCCACGTTCACACGTGCTGCCCAGGTGACTCTAGAATACGTGACCACTTTGCCAGGATAGGGGGTGTTGTTTCTGTGCCCACTCATGTCTTTTGCCTCCTTCCAGGATTATTGCAGCCTGAGCTGGTCCGTACTGACCCAGAGGTTCCGAGACCACCTATACTCAGCACATGCAGACCTGCACCGTGTCAAGTAAGAATCCATTCTTCCCTTTCACAGTGAATGTGCTTGGTCCTTAACTCTTCTTCCATGGACGGTGAAGGGGTGGGGGTAAGATTGCCCCCCAGCAGTCTTCTCAACTGATGAGCCTCAGCCCAGCATATTTGTGATCGAGTCTCTATTCTCTGCTTGCAGGTACCAGTGCTTCAAATCAGCATGGATGCACCAAGTCCTGCACGAAGGCTTTCATTTCCCCAAGGATTATTCTGGTCTGCGCACAGCCCAGTTGGTGTATGATCGTGAGGTACAATGGACACTGGGAGCCATTCTCTATAAAACTCGCTTCCTGCCACTCAGGTAATCTAAATTGCTGTCCACTGCATCTTTTCTCATCTTAAGAGTGGTAGAGTTCTTCTGGTTACTTCAGAATCAGTCTTTCAAACAAGGTCTTCAGTAAAGAACTGGACCATGGCGCTTGACTAGGAGTAAAATGCCGGTTTTCTAGCCCTAATTAGAGTGCTCGGTCATCTTAATATGTGAACTTGGGAGTAAGCTTCACAGAGTTCAACACGAGGAGGGCTTACTCTCAATAAGCATGCATAGGATTGAGCTTGAAACATGGAAGAGTTCAGTACCCTGTGTTTAAAGTCCGAAGTTTCATTTTTTAAACTTGAGAAAGCAAGTGATCTGCCAGCACTGCTTTTCTGAAAAAACAGAAAAGGAGAAAGCAGATGCATGCAGAGATCTGGTATGTTTTTAAGAGGTTCCTAAGGGAGAGACATCAAATGCACTCTCAATGAAGCACAGAGCCTGCATGAAAAGGAAGTTGATCCTTTATCAGTAGGCAACATGGTGTCTTAAATGTTAAAAAACTAAAACCTATGTTTTTGACACCTCTCATCTATTTACAAATGGTCTGTAGGGCATAGGCCTGAGAAAAGCCAGGTATTTGGGAATCATACTTACTGCAGTATCTGGAATGCTTCTTTGTCTGCTAGTTGCAAGAGATTCAAGCTTAGCGCAGCTTTACATTTCAACTTCAGACTGGTTTTTCTTTGTTTTTCAGGGATCTCCGCCAGGAGAGCATCCACCAACCTCGCAGCCCTTGGCTCCGTCTCTCCTTTGTTTATAACCACTATCTTTTCTTTGTGTGCATTCTTGTGGTGATGCTTGCAATTGGACTCTACCTCTTCCGTCTGCGCCGCATCCACCAGAAGCAGTTGCACGTGGCACAGCTGGACCTGCTGTGGCTAGCAGAAGTGGTGCCGCTGCCAGCACAGGAGGCAGCCTCCTGACAAAAGAACTACCTCTCGGTGAACTCTCTCCAGGTCTGCCCTATTGGCAGTGGCTTTTAATGGGCCAGAAGCTGTGATTCTCTTGCGGGCTAGTCCAGAATTCTGCAGGACTCCAGCCCAACCCCAGGGCCTAAACAGTGTCTGCTCAGATTTGTCTGCCCCCAAACCTAAGCCGCTCAACCCTAATGGACTCTAGATTTTCCTCCGTGGCTGAAATCCCCAGCCACTGGGGGAGAATCACGCTGCAGGTGCAGTGAGGCAAGGGAAGCTGATCTCTGCTACTCTTGACAGTGGGCAAAAGGCAGCATAGCTGAAAGTGACCAAAGAAACTTGATTTACTCAGGAAGGGAGGGAGAAGGACCTTGTGTGGCCAAGAACTGGACAGCTCTCCCGCAAAAGGAAAGAAAGTGGTTCTTTCTGATGCTTTACTACGAGCACATCTCCCCCCCCCCCTACTTCTGTTGATGTCTGTGATAGGACCAAAAAAGGAGTCGTGCAAACAGGATTCCTTGAGGGTAAGAAATAACCTTTTATAAAAACCAAGGCAGATAATTTGCTGCCTTCCTTCACACTCCTCCCCACAAATACATTTTGCACAAACTCCTTTCAAATCCCACATTTACCCATCATTCAGTGTGTCTCAGTGCCATTGTCCCGGCACTGGGGCTTCCAGCAGTTCCAAGTTTCACAGAAGACCACCTTGAAGTGTGGAACGCTGTCCCTGGTACTAGCCCATAAACTCAATCAACTATGGACTAAGTTAAATTATGAATTTGTTTTCATACTTGAACTCCAGTTACTGTAGCAATAAATTATGCTGAACTGTGTAAGCAGCGTTTCTTGATGCTAGTTGTGCTGGAAGCTTGTTGGTTGGTGTAGCTGGTTGGTTTTACTAGCTGTAAAAACCATAATTTCTCACCTGTGCTCAAGAATGAGAACCAATCTACAATTGTAGGCCAAAGAAAAATAACTTGCTTTATTGCTGTAGCATCCTGAACACAATAGGGTTACTACCATAAATCCTAGTCTGGAAATTTGCAGTGGCTTAATTGCTTACACCACCTGGATAGTTTACTGAAGTGTTCCTTGTCAGGAAACAGACCACTTTTGATTTCAGCCCAGTACCAATTAGATGCTATGGATGGAGGCTGGAGTATTACCCTGTCTGAATTTCAAGCACTTCTGGGCCCCATATCAGATGTCTTTAACAGAAGACAAAGAAAGCTCACATACTAAAAAATTTATTTTCACGATACCAGTTTACACTCAATAAATACAAATACACAACATTATAAATAATAGTGGAAGGGGGAATTCTAGGCAAATGCATCCTAGTGCAGCAGGCTCACTGCTAATGGAGAAAGATAGGGAGAGAACAGATCTACTGGGCGAGCATCACCATGTAAAAGTAAGGAAGGTGTCTTGTATCTTGCCCAAGAGGGTGTTCCAGAGCTCCATCGGCAATTATTCAGTCTTAGCGTTCATTACAGGACTTTCAAAATGCAAACATTTTCCCTAACTGCCAAGAGAGGAACATTTAGTTACAACATCAAACCCAAGAGCAGATGCCACCAAGATGCATCAATTAAAACAGGTGGGAGATAGTTAAACAAGTGAAATGGTCCCTTCATATGTTTGGGTCTTGGCCCTACCGCTGTGGGGAAATTTAGAGTGCAAACAAAAGATCCGTTGAGTTAGTACTGGAAAGGAGCTGTTATCTAGCATCAGAAGGAAGCCTAGGAAAAAGAGAAAAAGATTTCTTAGTATTGACCTTATCCCAGCAGGATAGAAGATATCTGGGAACAATCAACCTGTTGCCCTTTCAGTGAGATTTACCATAACTACCTTTTACAGACAACGAGAAAGTGACCTGTCTTATAGAACCACAGTGACAACACTCTTGGAGACAGATTACAGGTACCTTTCTGGTTTTATTGGTTAAGCCAGGGATGGGACCTATGATTCTCATGTGGCTGGACTATGATCCCTGACTGGCTATATTGGCTTGGGCTAATAGGAGTCAGAATCCAATAACATCTAGAGAACCATAAGTTCCCCATCCCTGGGCTATGCCATTGACAGGTGAGTCAGGCAAGGAACCAAGGAAGGGAATCTTTGTAAACTGGAAGCAAATAGATTCCTTTTTCTTACAAGCTATTAATGAGTTGCATCTAATGTATTTGTTAGTAAGGTAGGTTAGGTAGCGCTGGATAGAGCAAGTACCTATTGAATTGGTTGATAGTGGTCCAGTTCACTCCCACAGGAAGCGCACATACCAGATGGTCTCATTCTTCAGCTGGGGTCCAAACAGCGGGTTGGCCTGGGCCAGGAGTGCTATAAGCCAGCTGCAAGGGAAAGATAGGAAGGAGACATATAAACTGGATCACAACTCCTTTTGCACTAGTGCTGAAATACAAAAAGTTATATTTTGCAAGTAACTGCTAGGTCATTTTTGCAAGTAACAGTTATTCTTATAAAGAGGACAGTATCACTGTAGGAGGGATATACAATCTAGGGAGCAAGGTCTTCTAGTTCTTTAAATGTACTACAAGGAGATAAGATCTGCCCTGGTGCATCTGCCCTAGCTTAGCATAACAGCTGAGCCAGACAGGATGTTAGGGCAGCTAGAACAATCTAGTGCTTTGGTGTATGATCAGAGATGGTCTAAGGCTTGTTATGGGAGGCAAAATCCACTCCTTGTTCATATATGGGGTCCTGGGAGCATCATGCATGAATGATGCTAGGACATATTGGAAGAGACAGTGTACCATGATCCAATATTACCCAAAAGCTTATTTTATGAGAGAGAGGCACGCTGTTTATGCACCTATGTGTAGAATAAGGACCTGGCTTGAGCATCTCAGGAGAGCCTCTTCTATTTGGGATTCCTTCCTAGATTCCCAATATTCAGGAAGCAGCCAGTTAGATAAAGTTATGAGGGTGGTTGATTTCCTGCTGGGTACAACCCAGCCCTACACCCACAACCCATCTCCCCTACGCAATACTCACAAGAGATAGCAGGAAATGGCTGTGGTCACCAACATGGTAATAATCACTCTGTGAAGTGAAAAAATGAAAAAGAAAAAAGATTGAGTAAAGCTGCAATCCTAACCCTACTTACCTGGGAGTAAACCCCACTGAATATATTAGGAATTACTTCTGAGTAGACAGGGATAGGATTGTGCTGTTACTGAAACAATCAAGGGGGTCCCACAGGAGAAAGGATTCCCAGATCAGGCACTCCTCAACGCTCTTCCTCCCTGCTCCCACACCCCGCCTCCTATATACCATAGTCATAAGAGAAAAATACCCTAGCCCAGCCCTTTGGCTGCTATACTAGTTTGCTATTTGCAGGGTCGCTGGAGTTTCCAACGCGAGGTATCACTCATAAATGTGATTTCCCCCCCACTTGGCAGACTGAAGCGATGCGGAGTCCCATTCACAGCATCCGTGGATCAGGCCTCCTTCAAAGCCAAAGGCGGCTGCGGAGAGGAAAGCCTGCGAGTGTCACACTTGCGGGGGAAGCGGGTGCTGGTGCCTGCTAAAGTCTTTGTGTGTGTCATGTCATCTCCCAATATATCAGTATCTCTATATAGTGACCTTTTTGGATATATAGGTCATTCTCACATTATCTATCTATCTATCTATCTATCTATCTATCTATTCTTCTATCTAGATATAGATACAGATATTCTCAAAGCCTTTAGCAGGGACCACCACCCCCCTTCCTTCGCAATTATAGATCACAATGCATATATTGATCTATTTGGCGATGGCGATGGATCGGGCGGGCGGAGGCTGCGCGGGCGGGGAGCCTCACCCGCGGTTGGGCCCCTTGGGCACGAGCCACGGCCCGGCGATTCCCACGAGCCCCCAGAAGACGGAGAAGAGGATGATCGGCAGCGCGAAGCTGTGCGCCGTCATAGCGAGGCAGGTTGGGAGCGACCGACGGGATGAAGGACAAGAAGCCGCCGCCGCCGAGACCGCAAGAAGAGTGAGTCTCCGCCCCTCCGCCGGTCGCTTCCTTCGCTTCTGGCCCGGTCCGCAACCAATCAGAATTCCGTGCGCCCTCCCGGTGTTTTCCCCCCTTCGCCACCCCGTATTTTGGAGCCTTGGTTCCGAATGGAGTTGCCTGTGTCGTACCGCCCCCTGCTGCCTTGGAGGGTGTATTGCGAGGAGCGGAGAAGGCAGGTCGAGTCTTACAAGGTCGAGTCTTGCAAGGGCATCGTATAGGCGTCCGCCGGGGTTGGGGTAGTTGCTCCCTCTAATAAGCCATGATCACCAGATTTACAGGTTTCTATTCCCCCCGCCCCGCTCTACAGAAAGGTTATAGAATTTGTAGACCCAGATATGAACAAAAATGTGCAGGCACCAATCTCCACCTTGATTTTGTGAGAAGACTTACCCCTCCAACCTTTCAGAGTTTCTATCCATTTTAGGCCATTGCTATAATTCTTAAAAAATACAAAAACTCCTCTAACTGGTGTACAGAAAACAAGCTGATCAGAAAATTTTACGAATATGATGTTATGTATAAAAATGTTGCATTACTGCAACATTACTAATACATAGAAACCAGTATCAGTTCCTTCTCCTTCTGACACCCATCCCCTCTCAGTATCCTGGCTCTCACTGAGCGCATTCATTGATTTCTACCTAATGAATTTCTACCTAATGAATGAAGCAATGGATGACATTAAGGAAACTAGATCTAGCCAATTTAATACTTGAGTGAAACACCTGTGTCTCCGCTCTTGGTTTGGTTTAAAGCCTTTAATGCCGGTCTTCACTGCTTGTGAAGTGAATGCTACCCCACTGAAAACAAGTCAGGTATCCAATACTGGCAAGTAATGTATAAAAGAAAAAGGTAGCAGCAAAGACAGTAAGTAGTCCATCATCTTTCAAAGTCACATTTCATAGCAAAAAATGTCCCTCCCAGCATCTGCAAACACTTTAAAGGATACTCTGCTGCCAATCTGCCATAATTATACCTATATTGAAGCAGGCTGGGCTGGGGCTGATTCCATGTTAGGCTCATTTTGCTGGGAGGCAGCGGTAGGGAACCGCAGTAGTGTAGTACAATTCTGAATTGTAGGGTACATGTTAGGGCTTTTTAGGGAAATGAAGCAAAGTGGGAGACTGTGAAGTTGAGTGTAGCAGCACTGCCCAGGAAAGAATCAGCACTGAGTGAAAAGCCATCTACCCATTGTAGCAGGTCAACCCACTGAGAAGGAAAGGGATAAATGTGTAATACAAGTTTCTCAGGGGTCTACCCAAGTCTAGGAAGTCACCTGATCCACCAGAATTGTTAGATATGTTCTCTGCTGCTAGTTATGTTTATTTACTCATTTGCAGCATTTACTCCCCCCCACCCTCCCCAGAAAAAATCCTATGTGGATATTGATGTTAATGTTAATGAAACGTGTTCCAAATCAACCCACTCATGTGCCTGTTTGAAAGCTACCACAGGCATCTGGTTGGCCACTGAGAACAAGATGATGGACTTAATGGAGCCTTTGGTTTGCTGCAGCAGTTTCTTATGAAGGTACATTGCATAGGGACATTGTAAGAACAGTCAGTTTTAAAATACTGAGATATTGAGAAATATTGAGAAACTTTATTAAATAAGGAAAGGACTGTGGGTCTTCTGCATGGTTAAATTACAGTGCACATTTCAATATTCTAATGCAAAAAATTGCACTCAAACCCCATTCTGCTAAAGAAAATCCACAAACTAGGCCACCCATCACCCTTATAATACAGTTTTGAAATGCCTTCATTTGCTATTCATCCAAATTTCTAGGCCCACTAACCCCATAATCCATTG